AATCTATGAACTCTTTGCCTAACCTCAGGTAATGAAGATTTTCTCTTGTTCTCCTTGTAAAGCTTTACAGTTTTATGTTTTTTATTTACATCTGTTATCAATTTTGAGTTGGTTTTTGTATAAGGTGTGAGGTTTAGGTTCTTTTTTTACATGGGGATGAAAGTGACTAATTTTTTAAATTGAACTTTTTTATTGATGAATTTTCACATACTGACCAGTTATATAACCAGCAATTAGATTGAAGAAAAGAGCAATATCAGCGCCCCATTACCCCCCTTGATTCCTTTCAGTTGTTACATGCTCTCCTCTACCTCCCACTCCCCAAGTATATCCTCCCTTTCATTTTTGACACCGGAGATTAATCTTGTCTGTTTAGAGCTTTATGTAGTGGAATTGCATAGTATTGTACCCTTGTTCTGGCTTTTGTTCAACATTTTGTTTGTGAGATTCATCTGGGTTGTAGCAGTAATTCTTTCATTCTTATGACTGCATAGTATTCCATTGAATTAACATAACACAATTTATTCTATTGATGGATGTTGGGGTTTCTAGTTTGAGGCTATTACAAGTTCTGCTATGAACATTCTTGGATATACATGGCTTTTGGTGAACATATGTACACATTTCTATAGGGTATATGCCCGTGAATGGATTTACTGGGTCCTCGAATATATGTGGAGCCCTGGTGGTGCAGTGGTTAAGAGTTTGGCTGCTAACCAAAAGGGCAGCAGTTCGAATCCACCAGCCGCTCCTTGGAAAACCTGTTGGGCAGTTCTACTCTGTCCTCTAGGGTCTCTATGAGTCGGAATCAACTTGATGGCAACAGGTTTGGTTTTGGGTTTTTTTAAGTTATATGTATGTAGAGCTTTAATATATACTGCTCAGTGATGTCCTGCTAACTTTCTAACAACTGGCTCTGGGTTGGGGGCCAATTTGTAGTTCGTGCCAATTTCTGTGGCATAAACACTCCTACTGTGCCCACTTTTGAGCTACCAGTGCTTTGTCAACTGGCTCACAGAATTCCTGAAAATTTAACCATCACTTGTGAAATAGTACAAGCTGGCTTCAGAACGTCACTCACAGTGCCCAACTATTTTTCCAAGATAGTTATAATTTGAGCTCCTTTGGAAGTGAAAGTTCTAGTTGCTGCATATCCACAACATTAGGTACTAGCTGACTTTTTCATTTTAACCATGCTGTGTGGTATGCAGTGCTATCACTTTGTGGTTTTGATTTTCATTTTTCTGATGACTAATGAAGTTGAACATCTTTTGTTATATACCTGAAGTGTGGTCTGCAGGCCAGAGTTTGCCAGCCTGACACAGACCTTGAAGAGAGAGACTAATTTTTGGTTTTGTTTATACCTGAAGTGACTAGGTAATTTGAAATGACACATTTTCCCCTCTTCCAGGAGTGGAAATATGGGGATTGTTATCAAGTTTGGTTTAGTTACAGAGTAATAATGTTACAATTTTGTATATCGGAGGTCCTAGTTCGTAAGTGCCAGTCAGTGCCCTATCCCCTCCTCACTGGTATACTGCGTCTGTGGATTTATCAGGGAACTTAATCTTTTGTTGCCCTCAGCTCCCTAATTTGTAAAAATGTGGATTATGATTCCTCTCTGTCTCGGTTATTATGGGGATTAAATGAAATGCCTTCCATGGTGCTGAGTATGTGATAAGCATTCCATAAAGCCATTAAATACATATTATTGTCTTTCCCTCACCATTTAGGAGAGAACTACCGTAGAGTAGCTTGTATTTGAGATAGATTATCTCTGAGGATTTTAACAATACCTAGACTTCTAAGTTCTTAGGCTCCCCAAGGAGGCAATATAGTACAGTGGTTAAGAGCTGGGACTCTGGGGTCTGACTGTAAG